CTGTCGTATAACCCGAAAGTGCCGGGTTCACACGCGGTGACAATTATTTCGGAATTGTAGGTTAAAAAGCTTCCCGTTTTAAAAATCCACTTAAATGGTTACGGGACTTCATAACAAGCCAAAATACCAATTTATATCTCAGACCAATCTGAAAACATCACTGCCGTTTCCTTATTCAACTTTTATGATGTAGATAAAATGTAGCGTATAAGGGTCAATGACCGACATTGTATCTGTTTTGAAAATAAAGTTTATAATTACTTAAGTGCAATTACGAGACCTTGTATATTCATTAAAAATGCGTTGCTACTTGTAAGTACCAATTAAATCACATTATCGCGTCACTGCGATATGTTGATTTTAAAAGGTCTTTTAACTTATTATTGTCTTTAGTCGTGTATCACAAATTATAATTACGAATTTCGTGCTAGCGATGAATGCTATAAAGCGAAATATCGAGTTATCGAAATACGTTTATTTTAATACGATTATCAATTATTGATCTTTTGCGTATATTGAATTGGAAATTGTGGATTCGAAAGCTATAATATAAAATTGCTATTATGATTTCTACACCTTCGTGCCTTGGATGAATAAACTTCCCTGCACTTGCTCTGTTTATACTCCGTATTGATATCCGAGCCACCTACCAGAATATGAGTTCATTCACTAGCGTAAATACACAAAAATATATTTAACTATCACATAGTTATATATATACCAACTTTATTAAACATAAACGTACTAAAAACCATAAACAACACAGTAGAAGGGACCACCCGAAAAAGAAGAGTAGCAGCAAAAGACTGGCAGACTATTAGCAAAGAAGCCTTCACCCAAGGCGGGTCTATGTACTCTATACTACTAGGCGACTAACATTAAGCTATGAGTAAATACTAACAACATTTGAAATGGAACTGAGGATATGGAAATATAAAAAGGCTTTATTATTTAAACAGCTATTATTAGTAGCCTCATGATATGATAAACGTTACAATACATTCTTCATCTATTTGAGGCATATTGTACGTTTATAAGGCTGTCACGATAATCGATACAGCCTGCGTGACATAAGCAAATAATTCAGAAATTTCAGTCGGCTGACGTTGACCTTAATAACGAAACTCAGTGATTTATATATAAGAACTTTTTGGTAACTTGAATTAAACCATAGAGGAAAATTCCGCTTAAGTAATGAAATTGATTGGCTGAAGTTGTCTATCTTAGCTTCGTAAGGTGCAATAATATTCGGGTATGACAGATTTTAAAACAAACAAAAGTAAGGTAAAGGTCAACTATTGAACTATATTAATTTTCTAGGTACCGCTGGATCTGGACAGGACACGAGCACTGGAAGTTTCTCGTTTCGGAGGCCGAACCACTTTTTGGTTCGCAGAGCCAGCGAAGTGTATTTAAATTTTTGAAATTTAAATTGCCGAGGGGCTAGTATGTATTGAGTTGAAAGGGAAAAAATAATAGTCCCGGTTACAGTGCTTTTATGTTTTAAATGTTTATTCAATACAAAATCAGTCCAAAATTACCCTACAACATTCTTTCACTTATTCATCAAATGGTGCTTACGCTGCGCAGTAAAAGAGAAAATATTATTTTTTATGAATAAGGTTTCACTTATTTAAAGATATTTAATTGAATGTGTTTTTAATTAATTGGCCGAATAGTTCCTATAAATATTAAAAAAAAAATTTTATAGAACGGGGCAAACGGGCATGAGGCTCACCTAATGTTAAGTAATACCGCTGCCCATGGACACTCTCAATGCCAGAAACTCGCGAGTGCGTTGCCGGTCTGTTAAGAATTGGTACGCTCTTTTATTGAAGGATTCTAAGTCGAATTGGTTCGGAAATCCTTCAGTGGGCAGTTCCACATAGAATGCTCATAGTGGAACAACGAACGTCGAGGTGATACGGGTGGAATTTCGTATTCTGCCTTGACGTCCGATTATGAAACGCAGATGCAGGTATTAATCCGAACAAAATACGTTGCGCATAAGCATTATTTTTACTTTGAAGGTCATACATAACTGAGAATGAAGATTTGTTATAAATGAATACTAACTGGTGTTATTCTACATAAGTATAATACGTATTCTTTAAAAGATCAATCATTCACTTACATTTTGACATTGTTCAAATCTTGATTAGCTGCAAACCTGAAACAAAATGATAAACTGAGTTATAATCGTAATACTTCAGAAATACAAATTTATTTACCAAAAAAATTAAATTATTATATTTATTTTTGTACATTATAATACATACCAATAAACGAACTCTTAAGGAAAACTAAGCACAAATAATACCATTACAACCGTTGACACTATCGCTAAGAATAACGGTTAGTTCATATGTAAACACATTTCCATATTTAATGTTTAAAAAAGTGGACTTTGATCATTAAGTTATGCGTTTTCCGAGGGCCGATAAGTATCAGGGACAATTATTGCAACGACATATTAATTGCACTCCGTTTTTCTAGTTCAATGTTTTTTGTTTTACTTTCCATTTAAATTGCATAAACATTTAATTTTTATTTATCTCAGGCCAAAAATATATAAAACTTTTTACTCTACCTAATTAGGTAATATATAGAAAGACTAGAACATACTAATTCATCTACGAGTAATCAGCGAACTTCAACAATATCTAATCAAACACAGTTGAGTTAGGGTGTTATTAAGAGACCGTCCGTCGGGTCGGTCGCCAAACATGGCGTTTTCTAATTTTGGAGGCCAAAACTCACGTTGGGTCGCTGCGCCGGAATGAGTGTATTAGGAGAGAAGCAAGCCTAAACTGGTGAAGGTGATTTCGTAAGAGAAAATAAAGGCTGTATCATCATAGATCATAAAATTGGGTCTAGACGTCTATCTAACAAAAGTTCAGTCTATACAATAATACCTGTATGTGGATGGCACTAAAATCTCATAGAATTGCTCTCGCACATCGACTATAACAAAGTAAAGTAGAAATTTACAGAGAGTTTTAAATATTGGTAATAATAATAAACTTTATTCATAACAATATGTATATGTTTGTGACAAATTCGATCTGACGCTAGTCCCCACACGAGCCTCTGTGTTGTGGGTAACTAGATAACAGCTCTTCTACGGTACATGGTACCGGTAATTAAAACAAAACGAATACAAATATTTTTTAGGGAAAAGTAAAAGTTTTAATGTAAAGACTAATTAAAAAAAAATACGGAAAAATTTGTTAAAAGTTTAGGTATAATTAAAACGCTGCCATCTGGCTTTTGCTATTTACATGTTGGAAGCATATAAGTTAATGAATATAATTAATTACCTTTATTTAACGATAGAGGCTTTACGACGTACCATCGCGATCAAGTTGTGAACTTAAACTGGAAATTGTACATGTTTTTATATTTTAAAAAGTTTATTTCCATTCACGTGGCATTTCTTTGACATTTTTTTCTTCTTTCAAGTCAGTGTTTCTCGTCAAAATGACTTTTGCCATCTGCCAGTAAATAGACAACAGATACAGCCATTAGTAACATAATAATATAGTAACAAGAATTTTTCTGTTAGGAAACTTGGGCAGTGCTCTATTGCCGTTTAGTTCCAAATGAACAAAACGGGGACACGACATTCGTGCAGTAAACTATATAAATTGTATGACAAATCGATACGTCCGAGTTTCGAGCCCTCTAACTGACATCAAAAACGATCTAATCGTATAGCTAAGCCTTTAATTGTTAACGCACCGATTGGACCTGATATAAAAAGTCGAATACGTACCTACTTGCCCCTAGGCCAACGTATAGGTATAGTCTCACATAATTAACATATAAACTATCTACCTTTGTAGTACTGTGCAGACGAACACATTTTATATGTAGGTATAGGTAAGTAATAAAACCGTAAATGTGTTGTTTATTACAGTACTTTTCGTAATCAAAAACATTCGTAACTAAATGATGGTAATATATGAATCGAAGAAATTATTTAAAAATAGACGTATGTAGCGACTTCGTCATATCATTGTTGATTCATGTAGTTCATGTATTTAGTTTCAGTACAGCAACTGTGCTGTTTTGTTCTGATTTAGTTTCTTTACGGCTTACGCACCCCGACAAAGCATTAATTATACAAATATACGATTAATACGATACCTTAATATAAATTAGTAATCCAAATCCAAGTAAATATCAAATGATAAGCTTTAGTTAATTATTGAAACTGCAATTACAACTCGTAATAAGGTTTTAATAATTTATTTACTAAGATCTAAGGAAAAGCTCTACGCTTTTGAGTTACGAGGGAGATCGTGTAATGCAGTCTTTTTTTAGCCATGTGACGCACTTAGAAACCTTCTGCTCCATTAGCCCATACTTGTTTCTAGGTTAAGAAAAATACGATTCGTACATTAACAAGAATGGTATAAAATATACATGGTATAAATAGCTTTTACTTTACAACGTAAATCATAGTATTACCTAATTACCCAGATAACTAACCAATGACTTACCGTGAATTGTAGATTATCCTTAATTATTTTCATTATTTTCTCCCACTAACACTTTATTTGGTTTCTTAAACCACTATGAAACTATTGATTTCACTAAATTAAAGCTTTGTCGTAGAACAGAGCATTCATAATTTAATTTATAACTAGCCTAAATATTTTTCTAAATCACAGAATAATTTACATGAAGCAAGTTCTGCCTAATATAGACAGTCCTACTTTGGTTAACGTGAGCTGCGACGGGAAAAACCATTGATTTTACGCATGCGTCGAACTAAAGCATTCTGTCTCCAATCCAACCCCAATGGTAACATGAGTAAAAGCACGCAATACGAAAACATGCGCAGCAATGTATTGACATTACTATAGGACAGAAAATATATTATTAATACATAGCTTCTTTACTGTTTTTGATGCGACACCAAAAAAACTTTAGGTTCTTACATATTTATTTCTAAAATATCTATAAAAGTTTAAATAAACAATAACGCCATCTGTTCAAATTCCTAAGCAACTACTGGGGCCTGGAGGTTCAGAGGACTTGTAGTGAGGTGGGTCTGGCTGAGGTCCTACACGGGTGCGTAAGGTTCTAGTCAGGTGCCAGCACCGGCCAAACAAAGGCTTTTGGTGTAACTGACTATCCTTCATCCGCCATCCATACACATTGCCACCGGTTTCAGCGAAATAGTACTTATTCTCAGGGCGTATTTTAGATCTCTTCACCAAATACTGCTTCCTACCGAACTCGGGTTTGTCTTTATAGATTATTTCCCTTAATTCAGGCTCTACAGGACGCATAATCGGATCACTGGAGAGTTCGGTATCGGGTCGTACCAAGCGCGGGTCTTCTTTGGGATCACCAAGGCCAACATCAACTATCGAGTGGCCGTGTCGTAGATGTTTCACGCCTGGAATGAATGTTCCATCGCGTATGGGTACCTTCCTCCTGTTATATCCGGCAACAACATGATCGCGAGTTATTGTGGCCGTACCTCCAATCATATCGTGAGCGATCACATCTGTTTCAAAATAATTTGTTGGTTCACGAGATAGGGTCGCTGCTTGTTGGATCTGCTCGCGATGCTTATGAATCCAATTGAGCCGTAAACGATTTTCCTTCTCGTAGTTTTCTAGTAGAAATATTATTACCGCCGGGTTATTTATATCCAGCAACGGCATTTTGGTATATAATAAACGCTAACAATAAAATATCAATAAAATCTTGTTAAACAAAGTTCGTAGAAATTAGACAAATGTCAAATATCAAAACAAAAGCATTCCTTACCGATTAGATTGCCTATGGTTCTTACACGTCAATGTGTCAGCAGTCACGTAGCGATACCAGCTATAAATACACTTTTATTGCAATAGCAAAGGCTGGGTAAGATACATTGCATTATAGAAGTCCAAAAATAATACATGTACACAGATGAAGATTTTATAATTCCAACTTTTTGACGATACGTATTCTCGTTTAATTTCATAGAATGGACAAAGTTACCTGATATTAAGCGCAAACACAGCCAACGTGCCTCGCGTACGTTGCCGGCCTTTGAGGAATTGATACGCTCTTGCTTCTACATAAACAACACAAGAGACAGTGGTCTTTGTTATGATAGTTATAAACAACGACTATTATTATGCGTAAGATAAGGTCGAAAATATAATTTTCATTGGGAGGGGAGACTCAAGTAAATAAGAGTTTGATATTTATTATTTCTATATAATTATGTATTTTCAATTAAATATACAATTATTCTCTATTTATATATTATTATTTTTATTTCGAAAAGTCTGAGTTTTTTTTAAATGAGTAAACTAGTCTATCATTGTCTACAGAATTTTAAAAATCAATGAAATATTTGTACATGATAAACACGAATTCAAATTATAGAGAGTAGGGAATCTCTGACTTCAAACGAGTATTTTTCAAGGGACCGGAAAAAAATTCAAACTATCGAGCAGTCAACTATATTGCTGTATTTTTATATGTAACAGGCAACTTGCATCATGTTAATGGGCTTCAATAGAAGAAAAAATCATGGGTGGACAGCAGAAAAAAATTAGTTCAATTATAAAAAAAATATACGAAATATTTCAAAATTTGTTTATTCATAAATAAATAACATTTTGTTTGGAACAAAACAACCTCCATCATGAATCACACACCATACATCTCGACATATTAATTTTCTAATTACTTGCTAATAATACTTACAGCAATCTTAACATTAACGTTGTACATGATTACCACAATAATTTGAGATTTTTAAATATCTACGATTATAGAGAGAATTCCAATTTGAAAATATTTTTTTTCTATAATCTTTAAGAATTGGTCATAACTTTAGCGACGAATACTGTCGATATAAAAAATTTAATTGATTTATAGAAAATTCTAAGCAATTATCAAAATCTGTTTGCGAGTAGTAAGTACTTACATTTATTTTGGTCATAGTTGTGGTGCTTAAAATAACTAATTATGGACTCGGGAATAAGAAAACGGTTTTTGTTCAAAAATAAAAATGTTTTCAGATTAAATTAACTTCTCATTATGAAGCGATATTGAAAATAATAAAATAACAAAGCACTTATTGGTGTATATCATCAAACAAAACACGATCGCGCAATCCAGACAACGCAAAAATGTTACAACTTAGAATCAAGAACTTCATACATTTACCAAGATGTCATTAGCTAACTGAACCGAATTTTTGCGTCGTGCAAATTGAAAAGTGACATTTATAGAATAACACCGCGTAAAATTCGAGTTATACATCAATAAATTCCTTGTAAAATAATCCAAAATTCAATTTTAAGCACCACATTTATTTCTCGAGATTACAAAAATTCATGAATTAATTCACATCGTCATCTATAAAACATGACAATACGGTGGTATTTCAATAATTTGAGGTTATTCTCTTAACCTTAGAATGTTATTTTTCTTAAACCTAACATCGTTAACACACAAGCTAATTGTGAAGTGTTTACGAAGTCAAAAAAATTCTCAGCATACATAATTGACTTTTTGGTTAGTAGACGACACAATTACAGTAGAATTTGGTATGAAATTATAATGGAATGGTTATACGGACTTTGAGGCTCATCAACGGATACACGATGCATATAATCCGATGTATAATAATTTCGTTACTGCGTTCCACCAAAGTACTACAATCGGAGGCAACATAACTTGTACATAAACGTACACGAACGCGCGCGTGTACGTTTGCTCTATCATGAGTTTCACAAAGTATTAAAAGTTTTAGTCTAGAATATCTTATGAAAAATCCTTTACTACTGAAGACATTAAGATATTTCATATATTCAACACTTTAATACTTGTCAAATTTATGAGTTACAGGAACGAAGAGCAAAGGTAATCAAACTTTTTCGACAACGCAATCGCGTACAACATACTGCGTCGCGTATCCGCAAACGAGGCCAAACTGTCTTGATAGCGGTATTACATAAAGCTGCAGAAACACGTAGAAAACAAAAATTCACAAGTAAGTACTCATCACATTAACTGTTAATCCTCTAAAATAGTTGTATTTACACGACGCGCGACCTTATCGCCCACATTCACTCATGAAATGGACTTAGAGGGTTTAAACTAAAAATTAATTCTACAAAAATCATCACAATACTAAAGATGTTTCCGGTCTCAATTTAGTAATACCTAACTATAATTTTTTTTGGTATTTCCGTCATACGTTCGCTAAGACAGATAGGCCCTGATTTCAATTATAATGTTTTACCAAACGCGTGAGAACATAAAATTAAAGTAAATAAAAGTATCTTAAATGATACCAAAAACTAGCGAGACACGAAAATAATTCATGTTAATTACACGTAGTAGGAATAGAATGAATGAGGTAAGTGTTTAACTTTCATGTCACGTATTATATTAAACAGGCCGAAATCAGCTAAAACATTTTATTGTTTTAACACGCCCTCGCTTAAGTATCCGACATTTAAAACTAATGATCTTATATCTACGAATGTAGTGAAACGCCTCCGTGAATTCCAATTTGTACTAAAACTAAATCGTGCTTCACCTTCTGACTCAAAGCTGAGAAAAACTATTTTAAACGAGCCTAGAAGCTAATGTCATAAAACTATGGCATGTTAATAGATTTTTAAGATTTTATTACAATATTTTTTCAGTTCAGAAATTAAAATTCAAAGTTGATATTCGATTATGGAAGTCCAGGTGTGTTGTGTCATTATAATTGTAAAAGATATCTCGAAATATTTATAAGTTTTAAAATAGTAAGTCACACGGCTCACAAGTAAACTTTTTTTTTGGTAAATTAATCCAAAAGATAAACCTAAACTGTGAAACAGCAATTCATTTTCGATTTTGTTTCAGGATTTATAGAAAATTAATAAATTGTGAGCGATTACCGATCACAATATTCCGAGTGCGAGATATATATAGTATTTGCAAATCTACGGTGAATAAGACATACTTTTAGGCTTGTCATTAGAATAATTTTACCAGCTAAGTTAGACCTTCGACGGAATCCAAATTTAACCAGCATAATTAAATATGGACACCGTCGAAGAGAGGTCGTTTAGTTCATTTCGTTCAAATGGCAGAACTTCGTCGGGTCCCGCTGCGTCAACGCGTTGTTGCAGACGAGGCCGACAACCGGATTCTCCAGATTGTCGTATTTCGAGTTGGTCTCCGAGGAGAGACTGACAGCACCACTGCTGTCTCCCTCGTACGTGTTCTCCGTGTCGTCTACGTGCGAGCTGGCGCTGGATTTGTCGTTCTTCTCTGGCTCCTTGTCGAGACAGAAGTCGAATTTCTCGCCGTTGTTCGCTTCGTTTGCGAGCTCGATCCAGTGCGCGCGGTTGCTTTTCACGCGGTCTAACATCGGTTGGAGCGATGAATGGAGTACGGCGAATGCCTGAAATGATTTAATAATATAATAATCGTTTTAATACATACAATTAAATAATAATGTATATTTATCTTATTATTTACATATGACGTTTCGGATACCTTGTGTGTGGTAGTACCAGTAGTGGTTAGCGGGAGGGTGAATAAGTGTATAAGTTTGCATCTAGTGGAAATGGCAGTTTTATTAATTTATTTTATGGTTTAAAATATTGATTTATATTACCATTTATGATTTTTTTCTTATTCATTCATCGTTTTAAGGTTTGATAAAATGCTTTATTTATATAATAGGGGGGCAAACGAGCCCGCGGCACCCAAAAACGGCAGTCATTGCAGCCCATACACATCTAATTTCGGTGGGTGCGTTGCCGGCCTTTGAGTAGAGCACACTCGACTCGAAATCGTTAGAGGTCGTATCTCTCAGGGAAGACCCCCACCGAGAGTCGATTCCACAGTTCACTAGTTCGCAAAAGAAAAGCCTTGTGAAACGGACTGTGGAGGACTTCCAGCCATCAAGGTGATGTTGATGACGTTACATTTATTATTAATATTTTTGTGATCGGTATAATTACCTCGTAAATGGGCAAGCAAATAGTATCGATGAACTTGACCTGCATCGATGGCAGCTGATCCTCTTTGTCTCTGTTCATTATATCCTGGAAGAAAATATATTTATACCATAAACGATATGTAAAAAAAAGATCTTGTCTGTTATGAAAATGTATCATGTCCTTAAATGTGATTATGCCAAATTCTTGCTTAATCAAAGCCGTAACTATTCTTTTGCATTATTGATATTTAATTTAGCATTGCGTGTATTTAAAATTAAAAAAGTTTTGTATGCCTACAACGTTTTCTCCTTTTCAAGACTATTAATTTCTTTTACATTTGACAATTATTGAAACAAATTTAATTGAATTAGTAGTTTAATTTGTACTCAAGTGGTGTCCTGTAAGTATGACGCCACAACCGGATCCGCAGGACACGAAATCGTCTTAATTGTTTAATTCCAAAGCTCAAGCATTGTATCTTAATCACTTTGTCTAATGTGTAACATAAAGAAGTATAAATTAATGAAACAAAACATACACGAAGTGATTATCCTTAAACATGGAATGTCAATAGAGCGAAATAATCTTCTTCTAAAAGTGCTCCTTCTCTCCTTTCGAAGGTTGGCGATAATCATAGCTACTTTAATTTTAGATGACATGCTTCTGAACAAAGACTTGGTGCTATGACCAAACCACTGTCTAAAATTCTTAAACCTGATACCAGCCACTTTGCCTTGACTGATTAGTTGAAGGAGCTCGTGTTTTTTTGAAGAAAAAGTAAAAGAAGAAGAAGTAAAAAGAAGGGGTAATACTTACTATGGGCGTCAAATTGAGGTTTTGTTTCTCTAGGTCACCCTGGCGGAAGAACTCCCCGGCGACGAGCGCTGCCACTCGTCTCTCCACGGGCCAGGGCTTCGTGATGGCGGCGAGGTCGCACGCCGTCATCAACATCGCTCGGAGCAGCCCGCGACGTTCCTCGCACTCCCCCCAAGCGGGTGTCACCGTCTTGTCCGAACTCACTATGTCGAGGAAGGCATTTCTTTTGCTGAAACAACATGGAGTTCATATTAATTGATTTTAACACTAGGTTAGGTAAATATATTCAGGTGTAACTCGGCTTTAGGAATGCCGAATAAATAAAAACATAAGAATTGTGTGTTTAATTTACATCAATACGTTCACAATACATAATAAACATTAAGTCTTTTACTTCTGTAAAAAAACGACGGGTTTCACTCCGGGAGTGCCGGCAGAAGTGAAAACTTGAATATTAACGTTGTGCATTTTTGATATTTTGGAATGGTAAGGGAATAATTTTGCACGAATTGCTTTAATTATCAGTATAAAAGTACTATCATTTATGTGGTAGAACACAATATTTATTTATTGCGCTATCGTACACAAACATGACAATTTATATTACATTAAATACGCCGCGCCAGCTTTCTACTCTCCATCCGTCTTACGAATTTTCGATCAGGTCACTTGTCCTGACGCGAGTTTAACATTTTTTACCCATTCCTAAAAAAGAGTACAACGCCGCTAAAGAAGTTTTCACTTCAAAAACTAAATCAAAAATATTTGTTTCCTATATCTATTGTTAGTAGCAACTTACCTGAAATACACAGCCAAATCGGTGGAAAGAATAGCGTCTTCCAGCACCTTGACAACCTTCTCGTAATCCTCAGAAGAGAGATTCGCCAAGATCTGGTTTCCAGGGGAGTTCAGGATCATGAGACACTGATCGAAGTGGTGGTGCTCCATCGTCGAAGTCGAGTACAACTGGGCCAGGGGTGATGATGCCCTGGAATTAGGAATCATAGGTAAAAAACAAAATTATCATAAAACCTGAATTAAAGGTCGTGTTTGTAATGCTGACCAAATTTACAGGATTTAGGGTCATAGTAACACATGTACAAGGGCAACATGCCCAAGGAATCCCCTTTTCGTATTTTTTTCTGTCCCTTTATATCCCCGAAAAATACTTAATTCACAATGCTACTAAAACAATAGCCATACAGGCTAGAGACATGTTGTCAATGAAAATATGATCACCGGGAATGAGCTCATGGCCACCTGACCTGACCTTCAGTATTAGATAATTAACCTGGAACTTGGGTCTTAAATAATTGGGCATTTTTTCCGACTTCACTTTGGAATGTTTTTTTGCTTTAACCAAAACAACATATTGAGGTTATATTTGTAATTACAATATTATTTCTAGGTTTAAAATTGTGTCTCTCACTTTATTTGGAAGGAGTTGTTAGTCCCCCGATGGTCGAGATCATGACAGAGACATCCGATGATCAGAGCCAGGCATTCGAGCTCACCGAAAATCTGCCACCACTGAGTATCCTAAAATCATAAAAATAAGTCCATTAATCTCGTGATAATATATAGAATAGTTTAGAATGAAGTACACCTAAAAGACACACACAAAGAGAGACATTCGAAAATCCAACAAACTCACCGTAAGTATTGAGAACATCATCTGAGCGACGTTGAACGCATGTCTCCAATTGTGATAGGTTACATTGCGGTAATTCTTCTTAACGCTCAAGAGCCACCTACAAAGCACGCCGTAGTCTATGTGGAACCGTTCAATAAAGTCAAGATCTAGGAACATTCTTAGGCAGGCGCGCAATGTATCGTCATCTGTCAAATCAATGTCATCGAATGACAGCTCATGGAGACTGAAGTGGGCTGATGATGGTATTCTTAAACTCTGAAAGAATTTAATAGAATTATTGAGAGGTTTATGTTACTAACAACAATTGTACGTTATCTCTTTCAGACAAAACTTTTATAACATACATTTAAAAAATAAAAACAATATCCAAAAACTAAAGCTAGAGAAAAGACTGATGATTCACCGTTTGATTTTCCGGATTCGGAGGACCAGTAACGGATCACGCAAAATGGCATCTACTCCATTTAGAAATAGTATATATAACAATTGATCTCTATATAGCTTTTACAAATAAAATAATAAATACGCCCTCACAAATTAAATGTGTTTAAATTGCGTTTGATTCGCCTAAACGGGCCCACATACACCAAACCATTTCAAAGACGAAATCTAATCCCATTGGATTTAATTGAAGACAATTAAATTTATGTGTATTATTCATGAATATCTCAAGTCTTAATTCTCATGGCTCTTAATTAACTTAAGGATCGCGTTCACTAAATCCGTAGGCAGAAGCCATTAATCTTAAAATTCCCCCAACAGTATAACTGAAACGCTATAAATACAATTTATATTTCTCATAACAATTTGGCATCAGCGTTTGAAAGCGTTAATTTTAATATGAAATACTAGCGAAGATTAAAATTACTTGGGTAATATTAAAACACTCTTTCAGAGGGCGTAAGTCATGAATTTTTAAAGGGGTTTTGTTTGTTACTATTATGTTTATATTCAAAACCGCAGATTGCGAACAACATATAAAGCCGGCTCCAGACTCTCGCGAGTCGTATGTCAAAGCCCTCGCCACGAATATAGGCGAATTTGTACGAGTGGTAGCAATCCACGCGTACCATAGGCACTATTTACGTTTACGTACGGTTTATATAGGTATTCCCTACATCTACTACAAGTTGGACGTGATTGGAGTGACTACGTTAGCTACTTTAAGTGCCTACCAATATTATAATACCCTGCGTTTATATCACAAATTTAAATAAAAAATATCGTACATTGCCGGTAAAAAAAATTATTCAATATAATTTTCTTTCTTATGTGTCCTTTAAAAGCCATGAATATGTTTTTTTTAGTTTTTAACTTTTTTTATTATATTATTTTATTTTATATATTATATTGGTAAGCGCACCGTCCACACTCTCGCGCTTGCGTCGCCTGGTGGAATGTGGATAGAGTTAAAATTAAATAGCAACGTAATCGAAGATTTTTCTATGGAATACTTAGCTTACCCGTAATCTTTGTGCGTCATCTATTGATGCCGACGCATGGTAACTTAAAACCTGCAATAATAAATAACATATTTACCAATCATTATTTTTAACAATTCCCTAATTCTATGATGGAAATTTTAAAAACTTGTTCCTACATTCGAACCGAATCCTTAAAACAATTTTCTACGGACAGTTGGTTCGCTAAACAGATACAAAAATTGAAGCCCTACCGTTTCTGTCAATTGTCAAAATCAGAGCGTAGATCCATAGATAAAATACAATTTGATCCATTTGCAATACTTACATCTAATGTTACACTCTGTTTGGCCATGGCAGTGATAGCTTTCTCGTACATATGTGTATTGTGGATTCCCATACCGCAGAATATCGCGAACGCCTCCACAAAGTTCTCATCGTTCTTTGTGAAGAGCAGTTCGTCAAATTTGTTGATTAGCTGAAAGAAATGTTTTATATTTATGTATAATATTTTAACTATTTACTGTAAATAATACTTTACTATTATAAAATTATAAGTTTTTAACACTTTCGTGACTGCTTTGGTCGAGACTTAGCGCTCAGTGTGACATATTAAAATTACCATCATTTAGGGTAACTAAATAAAATGTTGCAATATATTATATTTTTAGAAGCTTATATTATGCTTATTGATTTTGTACAAACTAGATTCTGTGTAACATATGAGTTTGTTTTTTAAATGTAATAGGAGACAAACGGGCAGGAGGCTCACCTGATGTTAAGTGATACCGGCCCATGGACACTCACACTGCCAGAAGGCTCGCAACTGCGTTGCCGGCCTTTCAACAATTGGTACGCTCTTTTCTTGAAGGACCCTAAGTCGAATTGGTTCGGAAATACTTCAGTGGGCAGCTGGTTCCACATAGTGGTGGTGCGCGGCAAAAACTGCCATAGAAAACGCTCAGTTGTGGAACGACGGACGTCAAGGTGATACGGATGGTATTGATTGTATGTCAACAAGAAACATTACGGGAAATCTGTGTTTTCCTAATGATTTTGTTACTAACTCGGCACCTTAATTTAAGTTACAATCACAAATATGTATGTCGTTGAAGTTACTTTGATACTGTTTTAGTAATTGTGTATTTAGTGGTCCAGTATAAAGCAGCTTGTATAAGTAAGACCATATATTATAAGGGAACTACTAATAATACGAAAATATTTTAGCGTGAAATTAATTTTGAAGTATAACAAGACTTTTGGAATTGCCGCCATTTGACAAAAACAAATGAATACAATAGAATAGACAATATAATCGGAATTAAAAAGAAATTTCAACTATCATTGTCTCTGGCCAGTGCCAAACTTTGAGTGCCATCTAAGTTATAAGACTATTCTTGGTTACAGATGGAAAATTTAATAAAAGTGTTCATATTTTCAAATCGAAACTTTATTTCAATTTCTAAGGAGCGTTTCGTTCACTAAACGTCTGTCGACACAATGGACAATCATTTTGAACTCAAGATATTAACAAAATAAAATATATATTCTAAAATTGTAACTATTTTAGTATGTTATAAATATAGTTTTCAAGGATCTACTCAGGATTTATTACAACGCTATTACCATTTAATATAAATATGAATAACGAAATATAATTATGAATTTTAAATCTAAATCCGAATTTAAATATGGCGATAGAAAAGGTCAATATTTATAAAAATATAGATATGATAGAATAACTTTATTTTGTATCGTTCTATTATTGTAATTTCAAGGGATGCATCTGATCACTAGTTATACATAATTAAAACCAAACCGCTTTTCAAATACCCCATTGCTAATTTGCATAATGAGGAATATTTATCATATTCAAATAAAGCATTAATAATTTATTATAATCTAAAACAAAGCTCCTTTTTGTCGCATTACGCATACACCGCAATGCGCAACGTTGTCCAGTATTGTTGGGGCGTGTGAATTTTTTATTAATTCTCTGTTATTAAGAGGCGCCCCGGACCGCGGCTAACGTACAGGAACGAAAACTAATAATTCAAACGGCCTTTGTTGTAAATTGTAAACATTTTCAAAAACACTTTTTATGGTGGAATATGTTATAAAAATTAACCCCCTTAAACGCACTTTCAAATGACAATTGAAAGACGCTTGAAACTTGACTCGAAACGCAAAAGCTCATTAACTAATTGCGGCTCTGTGTTTAGTTTTATAGCTAAGCAACGACTATTTTATATATTGTACACTTGTGTGTAAATTGTATGTGTGAATTTTATTAAAAAGCACATTTAAACAAATGTAAAATCTTGTAACACCTGCGTAGCAATAACAGCCGGTTCCAATGAATTTTTAAACGAGATGACATTTCTGTGCCGATTATATATTTGTTTGTACGTTAATATTTTCTGGAGATACATGTTAAATACAAAATCGTACTTTGATCCATAATTTAATGTCTAAATAAGTTGCAACCTCAACGCTGAGGTCGTGCGTTCAAAGCCTGGATGTGCAAAGCTATTTTCTATTTATTTTCTTGTTCATGAACGTGAAAAGCACAAACGCCTAAATAAAATTCAAAACCACTTCAGTCAGATCTATGCTCAAAAATACACAGACATCGTTATACCAATAATGAATTTAATTACTAACGCTTCAGCAAGAGTTTCGCTTTTCAACGTCAAAGCTTATTTAAAACTCCATTTCGACGTTAATTAATACTGAACACTGTAGTTCCCTTGTGATTTATTACTAAGATTTTGAAGCAATTAGTAGAACAATATTTGACGTCCGCTCTCAAACGAGGCCGCTTTTAAATTGTTTGTAGGTTCATAATTAGCTATTTGCTCAGACGTTTTGCTAAATATTTTATGGTGTCCCAGTGTGATACTGTGATAGCATAAATTAAAGATGCTTATTGAAATTCGGGCTCGAAGTACGTAAATATAGCAACTACCTAAGTAATGTTACATACCTTCATATAAAGCATTATACTTGAGATAGCTTAGCTTAATTAAATTCAATAAATTTTTGAAGTTATACTTCTTTTGGCGCGTTAGGGAAAAATTATGAGGGTAAATTTTAACGATGCGCGCGCACACCGTCACAAAGAACCGACACCCTAAAGTTGGCTATAGTCAACATTTTAGTTTTTTTGAAGTTATACTTCTTTTGGCGCGTTAGGGAAAAATTATGAAAGTATTTTTTTCTATTGTTAGTGTCGTTTTTTCTACAAACGAAAGATTACATTTTTGAAAAGATTTTTATCTTGTTACGCCAAAGAAGTATAACTTCTAACGCGCGTACGTGTACACACACGTTTTTTTATTAAATTAGTGAAGCACGCATGAGCCCTAGTTGTTCATTGGACTCATTCGTGTCGTTTACGAATTTAAGGCGAACATTCCACGATTGACTTAAGATTAGGGAATATTAAACTATTAAGTTTTGAAGAGTGCGTGGGAGGAGTGGCGATATGTGACATTCGCGTTTAGGCTCAGCTGTTACTTGTCTTCACCCATTGGCGAGCTGAAGTCATCCGTCAGGTTTTAGGGGGAGGTTAGTAAATTAAGTTTGATTCCCACATAATCCCTGCTTGAGCAAAATGCCGTAGGGATTTTAACAGCATTTTCTGACGACGAAAAAGAAGGGGATATTAAACTAACTATGGTATATGCGCAGAGAATTATAGCGAATCAAATAATTAATGCTTAACTTATTACTTGTACTTATCATTACGTTGGAGTGCTTAATGCCAAGATTTGTTAAGGAGCTACAGGAGACGTTAAAGCTATAGACAGCTATAGAGGGCGAAAATGTCCTGCTCTGCTTGGAGAAAAGGAGGGTACGGCCGTGCCATCATTTTTGTGCAAGTGGGACGTAATGTGTCTAAAAATACTATACGAGTATATTAAGAAATAAAGAATGTTGATTCGAAATCCTTCTTCCACAATATTGTGAAATAAATCATACGTAAATAAACAAATTACCTGTATAACACCAATAATTTGTCCCTCAGAGTTCTTGATCGCCATACAAAGGATTGTGTTGTGCTTGAAGCCAGCACCCTCGTCCACTGAAGGGTCGAACCGAGCGTCCGTGTACGCGTCGGGTATATTAACAGTCTGGAATATTTAACATCGAATGAGGTCAAGTACTTGGGTTTCGGTGCTGTGGTTTTGGCTCAGAAATTTTCAGTAGTACTTGTGAAAACAAAAGTATTCATTTACACATATGCTGATGGTAATCCAATAGTAGGTACTTATAACATACATTATATAAGGGCCAGATAGGCCATTATCAGAGCTTATAACTGATAATACTTCTATTAGTGTCTCCTTTTTTTTAATATAGTATAGGGAGGCAAACGACGCAACGGGACGCTCAAAAAGGGAAGTCGTCGCATCCCATCGACAACTATTTTAGTGTGTGTGTTGCCGGCATTTAAATGTTTGTATGTTGGCTTTTATTCAATAATATTTTTTTTCCCGAAATCGAAGGCAGAATGATATAATTGCGAATTCAACTTAGATACGGATGTGGTGATGCCACAAATCGTTGATATATTCTGTATATACTTCTATAAATATAGGCGAAAATAATGTTTCACCATGATGACTTTTATTAAAAAAAATATGTTTATTATGGAACATAAGATACATGTATCACTTATTCCACGTCATTAAATTTGAAGGCATTCCTACTCATCGGCAAAGAAGACAGAGGGTGTAGGCCGAGAGAAAAAGCCGGCGTAAAAAACTCTCGGTACTCTTTTAAAACAGCAAATCATCAAACAACACTTATTTAAAACAAATATCGCAAATTGATTAGAAGTAGCCTGTCTAGCACTAGTCCCAGGCCCTTTTATCAACTAGATAATCGTTGACTTTATAGTAAGCCTTTTTACACAGCTTTTCTTTAATACATTTCTTAAATTTATTGAAAGGCAGTGATAAAAGAGCCTCTGGGATTTTATTAAAGAAGAGTATCCCTTTCCCCAAAAAAGAATTACTAACTTTAGATAGTCTAGTACGGGGAAATTGCAGCCTGCGTTTGTTCCGTGTATTAACATTGTGCGTATGTTCTATTCTAGTAAACTTATCACTATTTTTGTATACATACATAATACTTTCATAAATATATTTTGACGTATATACACTTCAAAATTACATTTAATATATTGTTACTTTTTAATGTAACAAATTAAATATAAATTTATTTTGAATTTGACATTATTACACTCGTACGTACCTATGAGTCGTGACCGTACTTGCTAAAACTACGCTCATTAAGTAAATAGTTTCGTCTATAAATATTAAACAATTTAACTATAAAAGTTTATATGCCAACTACAGTTTCAGAATACAGCTTCATAACCCATAAATTGGCACAGTTTAACCCCTTTAATATGGAGTATCTTGCTATATTAAACTACTGTGAGCATAGCTGCATCTGAGAGATTTCAAAGCTATTAGCTATAAAGCTGAGTATCGACTGGATTAACTTCGGTACAGCCATATATATGAAAAGTTTTGCAATGCGGTCATGTCTACTGGTCGTAATTGCAACTAAGATAGCACTCATTTTTGAGGGCAGAGGGCTATATAAGACACTTTAAGGACTAAAATGAATCGGCATTATTTTGAAATATTTCTATAATGCTTGTGATTTTAATTTTTTTTAAAGAAAAAACTTTTTAACCGGATTAAAGTTATGTATTATTATAAATTTACAATTATTTAACATAATTTTAAATTTATCCGACGTTTCGCGTGCTTTACAGCGTGCGTGGTCACGGTGACTGAAGACAAAAGGTGTTGAATGACAGAAAGTATCACAGCTGTAGAGAAAGTTGCATTATCTGTATTTATTTCTCCGGAGTTGGTATCGACTAAATGATGGAGTAAAGCACGCGAAACGTCGGATAAATTTAAAATTATGTTAAATAATTGTAAATTTAATTTTTTTTCCTATTTATATAAGCGTCCGCGTATGAAACACGTATCAAAGAACATAGACTAAAGAGTATCTGAGAAGAAAATCTATGTATTGTTTATTCTGCTATCAATTATAAGACTTGGCAACCGATCATAATAAAGCGGGGCAAGCAATTGTTTTAATATCAGAAGATTTAAACTTTCACGAATTACTAACAATAATATGCCTATATTATATGTTTGCCTTTAAGTGCCTGGCATATTAAACGCAGTATATCTAATATATAAAATTCTCGTATCACGGTGTTTGTAATTAAACTCCTCCGAAATTGCTCGACCGATTTTCGTGAAATTTTGTGTGCATATCGGTTAGGTCTGCGAATCGGACAACATTTATTTTTCATCCCCTTAAATGTTAAGGGTAAAGTAAACCCCTAAATTTTTTATTTTATTTTTTACACAATTTTTTTTCTTTTTTTTATGATACAGCATACAATAATATATACAATCCTTAATTTTCACCCTCTACGATCAACCCCTATTTTTTACTATAGTAGATAGTTGTATGTGTTTTATATATGTTATACTATTTTTAGTGAAGTAAAAAAATATTTCCGATAAATAATATACATACATAGCAAAACAACGTTTGCCGGTTCAGCCAGTTTAATTATAAAAGTATAGCAAGCTTTTGAAATATTTATACGTATATTTATACACAAAGCTTACAAACCTCTCCAGTAGTAGCAACGTAGCCAGTGATACCGATGTTGATGGGAAACCTGCTCTCGTACGGGGATGTCCGTGGAGTACCAGGCTCTTCATCATCACCAGCCTCCAGATCGAAAACACGAGAGAAACTGCCCTTTGACGCTTCATGTACCAGCAGCACCTGGAAAGAAGATAATTTTAAGTGAATAATTTCGTCAACAGTCATAAAAATTTAAATATATTTATTTCGCATAAAATATTTATATTTTATAGTGTCATTTTTGTCGCTTATATATACCAACGCCCTTATACAAAACATAATTCCGTCGTTTGGTCCTTTTTAACTAAAATACTTATTTGTCTCTTTTCGTCACAGCGCAACCACAGTTCAGCAGAGGGAGAAACGGAATAGCATATCTCTCTATCTCAGCATCGTGAGCGGTGTATCTTAACTTATTCATAAATTCGTTATTTATTACTTTAAAAACAAGTTGCTTTTCACTGTCTCTATGCCTAGATTTAAGATGTATTCACGCAATCTGTCGCCAGAGTAAAGTTAGAAAATTGACACTGCACAACATCTACACTGAACGCATTGCATACACTAAATTAAAATTAAAGGTAATTTTTTTATACAAGTTTATTTGTTTGTTAATTATGATTTTTTATAATTATTGAAAAATTAAATCTAAATGTTGATAAATTTTTTTTCAATGAATATTTAGCTATGCCTGTTTTTTTTTTAAAAAAAAAATATATATATATATATCAACATTTTTTCAATAATTTTGAAAAATCATAATAACAATTGCAATTTTGAACCTGCACCAAAATCCTTCAAAAACACTTTTCTAGAGGTGATTCCGAATCGAATGAGCCATCGCTCATATTTTTAGGACCTTTATCTCTATTTTTCACGTTTTTGAACTTGTTGACTAGACTAACTTATGACTACTTAAAAGTTATCATTTAATTAAGCTCACCAAAAACTTATAATTAGTTATTTGGGGTTGGTTTTTGAATTTACAAGAACGTATTTAATTAAGATATAAAAAAACCATGTGTCTGTACTTATGTACACGCGTTCGAAGTTACTTAATACGTATACTTCTTTGGCGTAACAAGATAAAAATCTTGTCTTTGATTGACATAACTTTTAAACATTTAAAGAAAAAACTGTTTAACCGGATTAAAGTTATGTATTATTATAAATTTACAATCGTCGATAAGTCGTCGTTTAAGTCGATACCAACTCCGGGGAAATAAATACAGATAATGCAACTTTCTCTGCAGCTGTGATACTTTTTGACATCCAACTCCAACACCTTTTGTCTTCAGTCACCGTGACCACGCACGCTGTAAAGCACGCGAAACGTCGGATAGATTTAAAATTATGTTAAATAATTGTAAATTTATAATAATACATAACTTTAATCCGGTTAAACAGTTTTTTCTTTAAGATAAAAATCTTTTATCTTTAATTGTATCTTTCGCATTATTCTACTTTTGTAGAAAACACGACCCTAACGATAGAAAAAAGGTATTTAATACATTGAAAGTTTTATTATCTAGTTAAATAAAGTTTATTTAAATATCACAAAAAAAAATTCTACATAATTAAAGAAATGGACACTTTTTATTTTATAATGTTGAATATGCTTACTTCATGGTGTCGGTTTTTTGTGACGGTGTGCGCGCGAATCGTAAATATTTACTCGAAAATAAGTATAACTTCAAAAAAACTTATGTCAAGACCGACCCAATATTTTAACTTCCTTATTAACAGAAAAGATAAAATTCTGGCTAGAAACTAAAAATGTACCCTATTTGTTAATTCTCAAAACTGATTACACTGAGCATATAAAGAGGATTTACTTTCCCGTTTATTTCACGGAAATCGAGTCAGAATGACAGCTATTACAAATTCTCTAATCACACAACTACAACAAAGCATGGATAGCTAACCTACATGCCTAAAATAAATACGGCAATTCGAAAACTGGTCCCTGGACAAATTAATAACGGTCCACAACTTTGTTGAAACAACCGCATTGATCAAGTAAAATAATGTTGCCAAAATGTATTACTTGCGTCCTGGGATATTTATTCTCATATGCAAATGTTATGACCAAAGTATTAAAATATTTTACGTTTAATATTTCATACGAGGTAGCGATTTTCGCCGAGTTTGTTTCCGAGTATCAAATAATCCTTCATACCAACAACTGATAGTAGGATGAAGGAAAATGTCGTGAGACTATTCCCTCTCATCTTTTCAGTAATAATCTTGATAAGAAAATAAAGAAATCGTAAGAGGGATTAACGGCCACTGGACGTATACATAATGTTATATGTGAAAAGTGATTGAATTATATGTTTACGCAGATGAAATTATAAATATAAGTAGAAAGGTAGACAGTAAAAATACTTTATATTGTAAATTAGACAGTAAAATAATAAGAGAAAATAATTTCAAGAATAATTAAATGACTATCGGCGTAGGTTAAAGGTATTCTTGATTTTCCTCATTGTTACCAATTAATTTTTTCTTGGACACGATCCAATAAATATTTCTTGAGAAAATGTTTTACTAAGCACGGATTTACGTCATGTGTCAGTGTGAATTAGAAGAAACGTTTTAAGCAAAACGTTATATTAAACACTTTTAGGGTCGATTCGACCAAACTTCAATTTATACACGAGTAACTATACCAGGAATGATCTATTCCATGATTTTAATCTCGAGTAAATCCATAGTCGTTTCTCCACGTAATCGATAGTTTAATTGCGCTAGGAATAACAATACGCGAATAGCAAAGAGAATGGTGAACGAAAATAAAACTCGGCAAATAAATGTTGTTCTACAACGGGACAGTGTAAGAGCATACATCATGTCAACTCGATTTTGCCGTATTATAGTGTGAAAAAGTAGCTTTTAGGCAGGTGTCAAACGACAACAAAAAGTTTTTATTTGTTGTTTGTTTGAGGCTGTCGTCTAAAAAGGAACTTCTGTTGAGCATCAGTTGAATTTCATTATAATATTATAATGAACGACAAAACTATTATTTGACATTAAAAAGAAAATATTTAATTAAATGTTTACATAGCGCTGTGTTAATCCAACGTAGATAATACTGTATTGCAATTTAATTTCACATTTATAAAAGCGTTAAGCACGTGTGTTTAATATTCATATTATAATTAAAACAATATTTGCTTATAATAAGCCGCTCACATGATTTAATAGTAGCCTTTACATTCGCTTTTGAATTCATCATTCAAGTTCTTTTTTTAAAATTTAATAATAAAATATACGGAATTATTTTAGCTGTCAGAGAGCTTCCGAATCTCATCACTATGGTAGGTCAATGAATCAATGGACTTTTCTATGTGTGCATCTAATACTCACTTGTACGGTGAAGGAAAACATCGTGAGGAAACTGACATGCCTTAGAACTAAAATTTACAGCCTGTATGACAGAAGGCTGATCATCTACTTGATCTTAAAATCTGCGGTCTTTTTAAATCAGCCTGCAGTTACACACATCGTTGATATGTCGGTTTTCATATTTTACAACTTGCCAGCCACACATAGATAGTGAATATATAAATAAAATAAAAAGTACGGGATGTCTGAACCAGGAGACATAAGGTAACAGACGGTACCCTACGGGTAGGATAAGGCCCTTTCTCCACTGCTCCGGTCCGGCGTCGGATACCGGAATGAGTCATGAGAAAAATATCGGAAGGCCGGATTGCGCTTCTCCTCTATATCCGATCCGACAATAATCGATACTTGTATATTTATCATGCAACACTTTTATTAACTAAAACCCATATACTTTATTTTATTAATAAAACGTTCTAAATTATGAATATTTTATTGCCCTGGCAAGTTTATTACTTTTTGATATTGTGTATCTTAAAATAATATAATCTACTGAATAAATAGTTCACTAATACTATGGTATAAATTTTTATCAAATATTAATAAAGTTAATAATTTGTTATTATATTGTTTAAAAGTTAAATATTAATAATTTGGTTTGGTCCAGGTAACCCAGATTCTTTCAAATTAAAGAAACTATTAAACCGACCTATAAAACACCGCGTTCCGATTTAGCAAGTTATCTGATCGTTAAAAACCGGATGCCGGAGTAGTGGAGAAGTACTTACGTACTGTTGTGAGTTTCTAAATCGGATCGGTGATTAACGTTTGCCGGACCGGAGCAGTGGAGAAACGGCTTTAGAGGTTCACGGTAGTGGGATTTTCTCAAAGCTATCGGGAAGGCTCACGTCGATAACTAAGGGCTTGAATGCGGCTCCGCCAATTAGGAAAGGAAGCGAGAAATTAATAATACAGAGCAATATTCAAATCTGTTTATAATTATAAAACAACGTCTTAATATATCGTAAACATTAAACCGATTGACCGAGATATCCGATATCCAACACAGAATAAGGCCCTTTCTCCACTGCTCCGATCCGGCGTCGGATACCGGAATGAGTCATGAGAAAAACATCGGAAGGCCGGATTGCGCTTCTCCACTATATCCGATCCGACAATAATCGATACTTGTATATATTTATCATGCAACACCTATATTAACTAAAACCCATATACTTTATTTTATTAATAAAACGTTCTAAATTCTGAATATTTATTGCCCTGGCAAGTTTATTACTTTTTTATTTTGTCTATCTTAAAATATTATAATCTACTTAATAAATAGTTCACTAATACTATGGTATAAAAATATAAATAAATAGGAACATAATTTGATTTGGTCCAGCTTATCCAGATTCTTTCAAATTAAACAAACTATAAAAATAACCCTGTGAATAATAATTTAAAACCTCTTGGATACTTGGATAAACTTGGACCGATAAAACGTCGCGTTCCGATCTAGCAAGTTATCGGATCGTTAAAAACCGGATGCCGGAGTAGTGGAGAAGCACGTAAGTACTGTTGTGAGTTTCTAAATCGTTTGCCGGACCGGAGCAGTGGAGAAACGGCGTAACGTCATTCTCGGCGCCGGCGCATCGATTCAATCCGATGCACTTGCATATCGATATAATCCTCACACCTCATGTCTTCGTCATTTCCGGTTTAAAATACATACATACAAATGAAAGAATAGGTGTGCAGACCATCTTCTTCTAAAGTTATAAGAACACACTTTACACTACGCATTGTAGCCTCTTTATTCCGAAGTGTCCGAACCTTCGCTATTCACCAATGAACTTTATATATATGTGTGTATCACTTTCTTATATGGTAAAGATGGTAAATAAACCGGAATGTCTTAGAACCAACAACCTTAGACTTAGTGGGTTTCCGGATTATTAATAATACCGCATTAGGAACTTTTGACTATTTTTTATATAACAGGGGACAAACGTGCAGGAGGCTCACCTTATATTAAGTGACACCGTCGCCGATAGACACTCTCATTGCCAGATGCCTCGCGATTGCGTTGCCGGCCTTTTAAGAATTAGTACGCTCTTAGTCAAATGGTACGAGCTACGTGGATGCGTAGGATGCTTTAGTAGATTTAAAATTGGGTACGGATTTTATAAATTACTCGTGTTAACTTGCATAGTAGGAGGTTCTAGAATCACAGAATCTCCGTAGCCTATTTAAATATTACAAAATATTTTTTTCCGTACATCGTAGATATTTGATTTGCGTTCCCTTGCTAATCTTAAACTGAATTCTATCAATCCTCCATTACTGTGCAAAGTATCCTGCTTTAAAACTTCTGACCTGTTCTGAGTTGACCGAATATGTTAATTTTTTTTTATAAAAAATAATGTCAAATCTATAGTCGAATGTTTGTGAGCACCATGTACCTATCTACATAATAATTAGGTTATCTGCTGCATTGTTTTAATAACACCCTTTTTTTCTTTTAATATAGTAGTTTTTTTTATTCTAGGTACATGGTCTTCACATATAATATCAAATGTATACAAAGTATTGTAAAAACTATTTTAAAAGAGTAAGTATGGAGTTTCTTGCCCATTCTTCTCCATATGAAACTACTTTTTTAAAGAAAACACTTTTTTACCGGATTGAAATTATGTATTATTATATTTTACATAATTAAACATTTTTTTCCCGACATTTCACGTGCTTTACAGCGTGCGTCACCGTGACCAATAAATTTTTCTTTAAATATTTTTAACTTGTTATTTTGTCTTTTAAAAGTGCCCTTTTAATAGGCCTAATTGAAATAATTATTTGACTTTACAGCATTAGAGGCTATAGGAGATTAGGTACCTATTTCTCTCAAACTCAAAATAACTTTATTCATATACGTATAGGTAACCAAGTACACTTATGAACTTCAAAAGAAAAGATGTTAAATTGATTCTAAATTTACATTTACTACCAGTTCAGGGCGTAGAGCGGGCAAGAAGAACTGGCAACAAACTCTCCGTCACTCTTTTTAATCGCCAAGTTTTGAGTCATACATATTGCTTGAACTGGAGCAAATCAATCCTCAGGATTAGGATCATTTAAATACATATTCGTGAAATTTATAAAAAGTTTTATTGATTAACTTACGTTTAACGAAAGTTTTGAATTTATTCAATGATAATAATTTCTTTAATTTTCTTGGGAGTTTGTTATAAAAACGAATACAATTTCCATATAAGTAGTGGTTTATCTTCTGGAGCCTATTTGGTCCTACGCTTAGATTTGTTCTGTTTCGAGTATTACCGTACTGTACTGGTGAAAGTCACCATTTGTTTTGGACTCCTATGGTACCCAAGTTCTTTAACTTTATCAATGCAACCTCAGGTTTAAAAACCATTCCCATATTCAGTGGTGAGATTAAAGAACGTATTCATCATAAACAAATATAGCGTAATTGTATGTAAATTCGGTATTCACGATTCACGATCAGCTCAGTGGCAATATATAAGATCTAATGAATCCAAGAATCCAGAAAATAATATAACCATTTGCTAACTGTATCAGTCTCAAGTATTGGCCATGTTCCAATAGCTCAGTACAATGTTTCTCAATGGGTACTGTCCAAGCGACAGTGCCAAAAGGAATTTAGCTTTTATGATTTAGATATTTTAAAAGTTCTCGCATAAAAGCATTGTCCAGTTACCGAACATGGGTATACAATTTCAAATACCTAACATCGTCATCTTTTACGCGAATATCACAATGTTTAGGATACCATACAGTATAATACGAAATAATACTTTTTTTTAACTCGTACCAGTGTACGAGTTAATACATTATTTATTTAATTTTTTGAAGTGAAAACTTCTTTAGCGGCGTTGTACACTTTTTTGGAATGGGTAAAAAATGTTAAACTCGCGTCAGGAAAAATTCGTAAGACGGATGTTTTTTTAAAGGATTATGAACCTTCGTGCTATATAGTTATGGTTTTAATTCATTTGTCTCTTTCCTCAGATCCATTGATACATGTGGAATTGGACCTTAAGTCAATACATCTAGGTTTAATTTTGCGAAACGTCTAAAGCTTTATTATTAACGATTTGGTCAGATTGACGCGAATAAAAAATGGCAACTTTAAAAAAAGTGAATTTTTCTAATTGAATTATTTAATACTAATTTTAATTATTTGTGTAGGTTTCGAAAGACGGATGGAGAGTAGACAGCTGGCGCGGCGTATTTAATGTGATATAAATGGTCATGTTTGTGTACGATAGCGCAATAAATAAATATTGTATTTTACCACATAAATGATAGTACTTTTATACTGATAATTAAAGCAATTCGTGCAAAATTATTCCCTAACCATTCCAAACGTTAAATGCACAACGTTAATATTCAAGTTTTCACTTCTGCCGGCACTCCCCGAGTGCAACCCGTCGTTTTTTTTTTAATTTTTGGTTTCAATCAATACAGCAAATAAAAAGGTTCGAGTGCTGATAAATGTCAAACTTTGAGGCTTCGTATCGTCCTATCTAGGCTTAATATTAATAGGCATTGTAATTATAGGATGGCGCCACCTCCGGGCACAGTGGTTAAATTATGTACTTGCATTACACAATTTACCGGCGACGGATTGTCGATGACATTAAGCTAAGTTTACATATATTTTTGAGTTCTTTTGTGATATTTTTGAGTTCTTTTATCATATTTTCGAGTTCTTTTATCACATTTTTGAGATCTTTTATCACATTTTGAGTACTTTTATCATAGTTTTGAGTTCTTTTATTATATTTTTAAATGCGAAATATAGTATGTCTGCCATAGTAGTTATCTGTAATTGTAGATTAATTATCAAACTTTTGTCTATGTTCGTTTTTGCTGTCTTTGTTTTCCATTGACATATTTGCCCTAGTTTCTCATTTATACTATATTAATTTTGTTCCCTCGTGGAAGGCAACAATTTTTTAAAGAGTATTTCATTTAGGTGTGAAAGAAATAATTAACGCTTAAACTCAGTTAACACATAAATAGGCCGTCTACTTAACGATTTAGGAAGCGATTTGAACAGTTAAAATCAGTTAAACAAATTTAAGAACAGAAATTTTTAAAAACAATTATTTTCAAACTGTACCGATACAGTAATACAATATCAACTTTATTAGTGTAGCCAGGGTCTAAATGACAGTATAGCCGGCTTCTTAGAATAACATACATAGAGGCACTTAAATGATAATTTGCTTTAAGTAATATTTGATAACATAACTTACATAACAATTGATTTTATTGATTTAATTTTGACGACTCATTGGTCTAGTGGTTAGTACCCCTGACTGCGAATCCATGGGTCCCGGGTTCGATCCCCGGCTGAGACGAACATCGATGTGATGAGCATTTGGTGTTGTGCTTAGGTCTTGGGTGTTTAAATATGTATTTATATGTCTATCTATTTATAATATGTATGTATATCCGTTGCCTAGTACCCATAACACAAGCTTCACCAGCTTAGCATGGGACTCGGTCAATTGCTGTGAATTGTCTTTAAAAAAAAAAAATAATAACAATGGTAAGAAGTAATAAGATTCGAGAAAATGATATCAAAGCGGCTTTAAAGTGTTTTGATTTTGTATTTTTTTTAGGTAAAAAACCTTCTTAGTAATCGGTTTATGCTCTACAATTTGTAAACATTTAACCCTGATCTTATTACAAATTGATTTAAAAAAAATTACGTTTTTATTGGGGTGCCGCTCCCACGACACGTCTGCTTGGTGCTTGGGTTATGTGGAACTCGCTATTATGCATACCCAGTAAAACCCTATGGTTAATCAACAGTGACTCTTAGTGGAATGCGGTAACAACGGAGCCTTGTCCGACTAATGGGAATGCACCTGGATTTGTAAGAGCACTCATTCACTCTTTTGATAACTATATTATTTTACAGAGCGGTATCCTATTTATTAATCTGGGTACATAAACATTACGGAGCCACCGTTAATATTATGAAAGATAATGTCCAATGTCCTAGAAAAATATCATCTCTCTCATCTTTTAAAAATAATTATTATTTCAGTGCGCTACAACCCTATAATATATATATGATGGGACTTCGCCTCAGATCGCATTCCTTTCTTTGATGATATGTCATAGACAAGTAGGTCATCAGCCTTGAATCTGACGCATGTTATCATTTTTATTAGGATATAATGTTTCCTTCACCGTACGAGCAAGTGTTAAATGCACATAGTCTGAAAGTCCATTTGGTTCACAGCCGGAAATCAAACTACGACTTCAGGGATGAAAGTCACGCTGAAGTTAGGCCAACACTGCTTTTATACATCAACTTTTGCATTATATAATAATTTACTTACTATTCAGTGATATTTAAAACTTTGCGCTCAACACTTTTTAATTGAAAAAATCCAATTTTGTTTCCGTTCATTTTGTACGCATATTGATTGCTTTTTCTTTTACTACATGCAATCGACTGTCCAAACGGTTCCGTAATTACATTTGTATAATTAAAAAGCAAATTTACGTATACACGAGAAAAAATCCATTGGTGCACGGGAATCAATTCATGACCTCAGAATCAAGAACTACTTTTTTATATGTTAGATATGTTATATTGGGTCCACTGAAATGTATTGCTAAAATAAATATTTTTACCCTTATTTTAAAAATGCACGCTCAGCCCAGTGCTTAAAACTTAAAACATGCCAATAAAAATAAGTCTCACCTGCACCCTTTGACACCGAATCAAGCTCTGCGTGTGGGTCAATATCCTCAACACCATATGCTCTATCGTGCTCTGCTCCTCAAAGACCATCCTCGCCAAATCCAGCAGCACCTGGTTCCTCTTCACTTCGAGCTGCGACCGTTCATACAGCTGTGCGTTGCGTAAACCAATGCCGCAGAATTGGAGATACGAAGAGAACACTTTCTCGTCGTATGCTGTGAATGGTCCGTCATTTTGTTTGTTTATCACCTGCAAGTAATGTACCAATAGTGAGTAAGAAAAACATTACTATTTCTAATATAAGATTGTCTTCTGATTGTCTTGCTTACTTTAAATCTGTATATTTGTACAAAGGTCTATATTAAATTGAAGAAACCTCCCACAACACACAGTGATCGAATAATAAATCTGTTAGTTTTGGAACCTAATAGTAATACAAAATTAATTATCTATAGATACGATTAAAACGTGCGTTTATTACATGACTCGACGTTTAGCAGCCGACAGCGACAGTTACCACCCACATTCAATGTTTACTTCAGTGTTAATTAATACAGAATTATTATGAGAAAATTACCTGTGCGACTCCAAGGACTTCGCCATTGATGTCTTTAATCGGCATGCAAAGGAGCGATCTTGTTTTATAGCCTGTCTGCTGATCGATATCATGGTTGAACCTTTCGTCCTGAAACAAAAAATTGTACATTTAAAATATAATATAAAATATATAAATGGGATTGATTATGTCCTCAATTCCACAAAGCAAATATCAATCGTTGACAAATAAAACAGTTAAAATAAAATTTACATTTAGACGTAGTCTGTACATGAATAATCGTGTATTTTTTTTTATTAATTTTAGAACGTAAATTGCCCCATTTTTTGGAAAAGAGTTTCCAAAACATTAATTGGAAATGGTCTACGCAAATTTTTAAATTAATAATTTTTCTTTTTCGATTTTATCACTTAAAATACTGTTTAATTGGATGCGTAGAAGTTTAAACTATATCATAGGGTTCAGAATTGCATGCCGTACTTGAATTCTATCTTCCGCAAATTTCGCCGAACTTTGCCTAAATTCTAGAATAAAATTGAAGTTTATAAATCTTTTGAGCGTTTGAAACAGAACTCGTAAAAATAGAGTTATATAAAATACACTTGAAATTTAATTCGAGTTCGCCCAATATGTGGGATTCAATTTAAAGCCGCAAGCGATAAATAAGGAGATACAGCTAAATGTACTGTAAATATAGTTCTAGGACAATTCAATGAGCTCAATTTATTTCTTTTGCTTTCGTGGCTAAGTTTGTGAAGCGAAAATACTAAACGCTTTTTAACCGAAGTATATTCCTGACGCGTGAGTTCGAGACATTAAGGCTATATATGTATTTTATATTAGGTTATTTATATGTGTTATATATGTATTAACTGAAGTAATTGATAAACCAAATGCCCTTGCCCTTGTAGATCAGTTCTTGCGCTGTTTTCTATACTAATATTGTAAAGAGGAAAGATTTGATTTTTTGTTTGTTTGAAATGTATAGGCTCCGAAACTACTGGACCGATTTCAAAAATTCTTTCACCATTGGCAAGCTACACTATTCCCGAGTGACATAGGCTATGTTTCATTTTCAAAAAAATTAGGGATGCTTACTAAAACTTTAATAATCTAACCCATGGTGTAAAAAAATTAACAAAAAACTTTCTTCAATCGTGTGCGCTGCGAAAACTATTAATGATAGAAGAAAATGATGTATCACATTTTTTCAGGAAAAGGCTCTTTATTCGTACCTAGGTATTGATCCTTATCAAAATAAATACCAACGTTTCACATAAGCTACAATTTAATGGCATAACCACCAAAAAAGCATGGTGGATTGGTGTTCTCCTGCCGTTTCTCTTGAATAGTTTACTACTACTCGTATAACAAAAATCTTAGCCACAGCAACGCTTGGCCGAGTCTACTATTTTTTGATACTCCTCTGTCTCTTTCCGTCAAATTTTATTTACGCTATAATGAAAAGAGACAACACTGATTTTGTAAATACGTTATAATTAAAAATTATATACCAGTTGGATCACTACATGATATTTTTTTTCCAAAAATCAGTTCTGTCAGCAAATACAGATTGTTAGGAAAATTTCCTTGAATCAGTGATTTTGCAAACAAAACAGTCATGTTCAAAAAGATAATTTTGCTCGGAAACTCCCACCGAATATCATATATGTCATATAGTTCCAATGAACTGTCCAATACAACTCATAAATCGCCATACGAGAAGTACGTAATCCAGAATATTTTGCGAATACTACTATGGCTTCGCGCCAAAGACGAAGTTATAGTGTTCTATTCATGCCTTGGAATCTCATTAACGCTGATAAGACTTCATCCAACCGTGAACGAGAGAATCTATTAGATAATAATATTAAAATACCTTGGATTTGTTTTATTAATTTCCCTTTCCAGGTAAAGTAAATAACCATTATTTTATTTTATCCACTAATTCGTAAGTAGTTTATTTCAAGTAGTTTTAAGTTTATTTCAGGAAACACTAACTCGTACTAATTATTTTTGTGTTATTAAGTCTACCGAAGAAGGCTGATGAAATCACGGGGCACAAATAGCTGCCAATAAAGAATGCCGGTATATATCAGCCTATTTTTGCGTTACGCGTCACATTTTTCCGTTACGCGCCATGTTGCTTTTTGAAGTCAAACTTCTTTATCGGCGTTAAAATATGACATATAGTATGTTTTTGACTTTGAAGTTTGACAACGGATTACATTTTCGACTTGAAATTTGCTAATCGCAATTTGCAGCAATTAATTTGTAAATTGTATGCTAGGCAGTGTATCAAAATTTACTGTGTTTAAAGAAATAGTTTCGGACCTCTAAACTTAAAACAAACCAATTATGGCTCTGCGTACAACAAAGGTTTTATATAAGTTTCACTTCTTACGTGTGTACACCTAGTACACGCACACATTCTTTTTATAGAACTGAGAGCAAACGGGCTTGGGGCTCCCCTGACACCACCGCCCATGGACACTCTCACCGGGGGGTGTGTTACCGGTCTTTTAAAAAATAGCGCGCTTTGGTGGACTCTAAGCCGCAATCAAGTAATTCAAGTAAATCAAGTAATTCAAATATACTTATAACAATTCATATATGTTTATACTTTTATATCAGAATTTGTTAAAACCAGTGTTCAGGCAAGCGAAGTACATAAAGTAACATACTTTCAACAAACTCCTAAATCCTGATTTACGCTACAAAAATTACCAAGCCATTGTAAAACGAATAAATAGCAAGAAAATTGTTACAGCATACAAATCTCCAGGGTTAGAACCACTACTTTTTATACCGCAAGACATTTCCCAAAAGACAATACGGATTCTTTCTCTTATTCGTACGTACTACAAGCCTCAATTAGTTGTAGTATTCGACGTATTCCCGTTAGGTGATAGGGGTGACTCTTTGTAATAATTATAAACCCCCCCTCCCCATATGCAAAAGTGAACCATTTTTAAATTATCATGTTTTATAGTTGTTTCAAAAAATCGAATCTAAACAAATCTCATTTTTTCTTCTAATTTATAAAAAACATAGGTTATTTATCAATATTAAAACGATTATCTGTTCAAATTTAAAATGCGAGACGAAAAATCATAATATTTGAATATTTTTTTTTTAGTTTTTCTTTTAAAGTAAGGCAGACATTTCTGCGTCTGTGACTGACATCGGTTTTAAATCCACGACCTGAGGGATGAAATTCACATCCATAAAACCATATGAAAACAATTGAACCGCATACACATCAAACTATATCAAATCAACCGAACCGTTTTTACTAAAGTACTCTTCTGTCTCTTTTCGTGACAGCGTAAACACAATTTGATAGAAAGAGACGAAACTTGAGTTAGACTTGAGTGCAATCAGTCTGTTTTTTATATTGTTTTCTGAATAATGCGTACACGAAGAGAATACGTTAGAAGTCGATCTAATAAACTATTTAAACATATATTTATCGTATCTGATAAACTTTGATAATACTGCATGTTATTACTTTTCATCAAGGGCTTTCAAAGGCTATATTTACACTACTGATATAAATTGATCGACAGAATATGACGGAATTCCATTAAGATAATAAATATTTATCTTTTGTGGCGCAACAAACGCCTACTTACTGATTTTTTTGAAAATAAAAAATAAATAGAACTGAAACACGTACGTTTCAGATTCAATGTTAAAAGGACAACGAAATAGTGAAAAACATCTTCATGCGTGTTATGTAACCTAATATTAGTAAAGATATATATATTTTTGTTAATAATTAGAAGCGCAAACCAAATGTAAGCAATCATCGCTCACTTGAAGCCAAAAAGGGCCGTTTAGTTTTTTCCACACTCATAAATTGTTATATAATATTCTCGTTACCGATAATGTCCAATATAAATACACATATTCTAAATAGTTAACAGAAGTGTCACTCAGATTTAAGAACCCTTAAATAAGTCAAGTTAGTTTTTTGTTAATCCAGTGTCGCAACCCCACCACTTTCCACAATTTTATGTTAGTTATAAGCTCATGTTTTAATCGATTAAAGCCACCCATTCAGGCATTCTCGTCCAAAAGGCCCGAGCTGAGCTGTAAAGGCCCTTAAGGCCAACAGCGAGTTCCTTACAAAAAAAAAATAAGCCATTTGAAACCCAGCTTCAAACAAAGAGTTTCATTTAACATCCCTACAACAACATAGGTGTTTTTTACCTTTTTTTTTTCTTTCAAATTTTGTATTAGAACCAGTGTCACCACTGCGGGTCCCATCATTTCATTACACATGTAAAAACTATAAAGTATTTTTTATCATACAGCAAACTAGCGTATATAAGTCTTCTTAATCAAATATATCTGAACCCCCATATAAAATATATTTAAACCATGAGTCATGATAAACAAGTCAAAAAGCAAGCAAAGCAATTGTTACAACGTAAAAACAACTTACAACGTAAAAAACTTCGACGCATTATTAAAATGGATCTATCAGAATTGCTAATAGTTTTCAGTGAACCCCAAGCGATTCAGAAAGTTTGCATACAAATGTTTCATACAATAAAAGGGTCAATGACCTTTGAACTCAAAGATTTCCACAAACGATATAAAGCTAGATACTAGATTGTATTGCATCCTTCGGGTTATTCGTAGATAACCGACCCTTAGCCGTGGGATTTAGTTTTAAAAGTTCTTTGTTCTTTGGATAATCGTTTATTGACTAGGAATTCAACTTGCAAATGTAAGTCCCCTCCGATTTTATTAGATATTTTAAAGGGAATTCTTTACACATTAGTTTAAGTAAAAGAGACTACAACTCAATATTCCTATTTTTATTACACATATTTTCTTTGATGGATTATGTTATTCTAAACAATCTCCGTGGTTTAATTGGTTACCAATTATGCCTGATTACGTAAAAACCAGCTGTTCTCAACTTGTTTCGCGGCAAAAAATTAATTATCTTACGTCCGTAACGTGCATTTTTTCGGCTCATCTATAAGCATGGTAACCATAGACATTATTCATTTCAAAATATGTGTTCCTTGCTACTAAGTTTGTTTAAAATCTAAGGAATAAACCAATGTTATTTGTGGCCTATTTAAATGTAAAAAGAAATATAAGCCATGAAG